TATATATATAAATAAATTTGACCTTAGGGGTGTCAATTTCGGGTTTGGGTCAACCCGATACGACTCGAATGACCCGTTTCCAACAAAAAATTGCTAGTTTTCGGGTCAAAAACGTGTCTATCTCCTCTTTTTCGGATAAAAAACTGGTCTATCTCGGGTTGCCAGGTCAAAATCGGGTAAAAGGGTTAACCCGAACCCGACCCGATTTTTGAAATGGGTCGAAATGTAGAACTCGAATCCGACCCATTTCGGGTTGACCCTAACCAGAAATTTTCGGGTCGGGTTCGAGTTGGATTTTCGGGTCATATCAAATATTGACACTCCTATTTAACCTTAATGACCTAAATATATAAAAAAATAATAATCCCTCGTTAATTTTTAGTCAGTTTACCTAAATTTCAGTGACCCCCTTTATACTAATTTGATGAAATTAGCGGATTCGGCAAGTGGTGCGGTGCGAATCTCATCAATATTGTAGCGTCAAATTAGAGTGATATATACGCTACACCGATTGGCACCAGCAATTTGCAAATACTTTTCTGTAGCGGTCTGTGCTCCCTCCCCTGTTTTCGTAACACGGAAAGCAACGCGCAGCATTTGATACCTTTTTGTCTCTCTCTCGCTCCATTATTTTATCATTACAGTCTTTTCCTTCTCTGTACTCACTCCGCTCTGAAATTCTAGGTTTCGCCCCACCCACATCTGCCCCGTTAATGGAGGTAACTGCGGAGTCGCCGAGACGGCGGAGCAGCGCTTCCTCCTCGCCGGAGTTCGAGTTCTGGATGCTTAGAAACCCCCCTTGCACCAACCCAGAACTTCCTCTACTCTCCGCGGACGAGCTCTTCGCCGACGGCATCCTCGTCCCCCTCCATATCCTGTCCCTCACCCCGACTCCGAACCCCCACTCCTCCCCCACTTCTCCTCCGCCCACTCCCCCTCCCCAACCCCCTCGACCCGAAGACCCTCCCCCCTCACGGAAATGGAAAGACATCTTCAAACCAGGAGAGAAGAAGCCCTCAAAGGACAGAAAACCCTCTTCCACCGCCTCTGCCGCCGCAGAAATCAACATCAACATCTGGCCCTTCTCAAGGAGCCGATCCTCCGGCAACGGCCGCCCCCGCTCCGCTCCCACCTCCTCTGCTCGGAAGACAAGCAGCGCCCCCTGCTCCCGCTGCAACTCCCATGGCGAATCTTCGAAACATTCTACCGGGGGTTTCGGTTTTTCTCCGGTTCGGAAGTGGTCGCCTACTCCGGCCCGGTCTGGGCGGATCTACCTGGGCCGGAGCAACCCGGTTTGGCAGCTCAGAAGACGAGCCGTCGCCGGCGGGAGGAAGGATAATGGCGGGGCTGGAGTGGGCAGGGTGCTTAACCTTAATGTGAACACTTGCATTGGACACCAGAGGACGACAAGCTGCCGAGATTGTGACAAGGACTGTGAGGCGATTTCCGATGACCAGAACCGCCGCCCAGGCGGCGGTAATGGTGATGCAGGAGGAGCAGACGGTGAGGTTAATGGGGGTCTCTTCAAGCTTAAAGCTATCTTTACCAGAAAGGTGTATTGATCTGTGAGGCTGTAAGTTACATGGATTGATTTTTTTTTTTTTTTTTCATTTATGTTTTTTGAAATCTCCTATGTGTTCTTGTAAATCTGATTGCTTGAACTTGTGCCTCCCATTATATCTATTTTAATGGAAGATTTTTATTTTTTATTTTTTAATTTGTTGGGAGGCGGCAGCAAAATTCTTTTTTTATTTTAATATGTACGATCAAACAAAATTTAATTTTTAATAGAACAAAGTGGAGAAAAAGATTTTTTTTTTGAACATTTAGACTAATTAAGATAAATTTATATACAAATTATATAAGAAAAACTCAAATTTAAGACTTTTTAATTGATAATTAAAACTTTCAACTAACAAATCAGCATAAAAAGAAAGATTTGATTGAGTTGTTCTTGTTGTAAGGACTCATTTAGGATTTGATTGAGATAAATTTTGCAATTCTTTGCTTTTTAGATCTCACCTATTGTTTTATTATTTGTTGTTAAAAAAATTGTATCAATAAGTTATTTTTTATAGTAATTTTTATGAAAAAAAGAATTTTTATAATTTTTTAAAGTTGACAATATTTTTTATTAGTTTTTTCATATTTTAATTTATATATTTAAATATAAAATTTTTCTTCAAAAATATTGTTTTACCAAAATAAAGATTAAAATATTCAAAATAAAGAACCTCTTATATCATGGTGGCAAATCTCAAATATTAAGTTGTAAAATGAATTAATTAAATTTGACTTAGCTAACATAGATTGTATGTAAATGAAATAATGTATTTATGTAAATATATAAACTACCATGTGAATAATTTTGGGGATATTTGATTTTCCTAAGAAGTAATGCATAATAAAGGACTTGCAGTATAAAATGAATGCAATAAATTTGAAATAATTGGAGTTAATTAGATGCGTGTAAAATAAATGTATGTGATGAAATTTTTTTATTTGATTTGAAGTAAAATGAATATAATGTAAAGCTCAAAGATGATGATGAGAAGTGAATGACACAAGGCAATGGCTGATGATGATAATAACGATGCAGGTGATGATGGTGGTGGTGTTGGTAGTGGTGGTGGGGAGCATCAAGCAGCAATAGCGAACAATGATGGCCAGTGTTGGCTGGCAACAGGTGGCAATAACCGATGATGGGAAGTAGTAGTCAGCAATGTAGGAGGTGGCTAAAGACGAAAATAACAAAGAATTTATAACATAGTTGAAAATTGATCAACTTTGAAGATTTTCAAATATACTTGATATATAATAAAAAAATTATCTTGATCAGACACGAATCTATAGGAGATTTAATAAGAAACTTCCAAAATTAAGTTTAGAGTCATTCAAACTCTGATTTCAACAAACTTATAGTCGAACTAAACATATCGAAGAGATGAACCCAACAACATCAAAATTGGTCCAATTCGAACCCAAATGGGTCTAAATCAAGGGCTCAAATCTTATTCGGAAGCTTTAGAATATTAATTGAATGATCAAATGATATCCAAATGTGATATGCTTATGGCCAAATTGAGCGTCTTGACGAGACAAATCCAATGAACCTAAGACCGCCAAATTCTGACACCTTTAACATTGTTAAATACTTGATAAACAATCTATGATCAAGGGCGTCAATATCGGTCGTCCATTTAAAATACTTCAAATATATCCTTGATCTTCTCCCTATTTACTAGCAATCTCTCTCTAAAAAAATTATACATAGATCTGTCATTCTTCACAAAGGGTAAGATGAAGAGATGAAAAATGAAGAATCTCTCTTGCTTTCTCCACTACCCGACTGCCTACCCGCATCTAACTTCCACCTGGCCATCGATTATCGTCAGACTTCCACCAGGTTAACAATCGTCGTCGGTCTTCCTTCCAACCACCTTCGCTCGTCGACTATTATCCTTTCCGACTATTGTTGCCCAACTACAGTCTTTCCGATCATAATTGACAGACTACGATCTTTCCTACAACCATCACCCGAATACAATCATTTCGACCACTATCGCCCGATTATGATCCTTTCAACCACTGTCATTTGACTATGTGTCGTTCCGACCACCGTCGCCCGACTACGGTCCTTCCGACCACTGTCGTCCGACTACAACCTTTCCGACCATCGTCGTCCGACTACGGCCCTTTCGACAAAGGCCTTTTAGACCACCATTGTCCGACTATGATTTTTCTGAGCACTATCGCCCAATTACGATCCTTCCAACCACTATCATTTGACTACGGCCTTTCACACCACATTTTTCTGACTACGGTCTTTCCGACCTCTACCACTTGACTACATCCTTTCTAACCACTATCTCCTAACTATGATTTTTCCGGCCACCATCACCCAACTACGGTCCTTTAGATCACTGTCACTCACCAACTACGATCTTTCTAACCATCGTTGTCCGACTACGATATTTCTGACCACCATCGCCCGACTATGGTCCTTCTGACCATCGTTTCCTGACTACGATCTTGCCAAACACCATCTTCCGAGTACGGCCTTTCCGACCACTGCCACTTACCGACTACGGTCCTTCCGACCACTATCACTTGCTGACTACGGTCCTTTTGTCCACTGCCGCTCGCAGATCATGTTGCCCGTTCTTCCGACCAACATTGCTCGTCAACTAAAATCCTTCCGACTAATGTCACCCGCCGAGCATGTCACCCGCTGACTATGATCCTTCTGACTAATGTCGTCCATTGACCCTGTCACCTACCAACTACGATCCTTCGCACCACTGTAGCCCGCCGAACATGGTCCTTTAGTCCATGGTCGCCCGTCGATAACGATCCTACTAACCAAACAAACATGCCAATACTCCTTTAAGAACAACTGTCATGTTATTCTCCAACTATATACTGTGATATATATAAGGTATGCATCATGTCAAGGTCTTCTCTCCAAAGAAGGGCCTCGTTTGTAATCAACTACAAATATTAGTGAAATAAAATATAAAAAAAATAAATAAACTGCAAATATTAGTAAATTCATTCAAATTGGGTCAGGTCTCATGATTTTTTCTCTTTTCAAGGTTTTTCATGTAAAGCTCTAGTGACCTTTATGAATGATACAAACCTATCTTTCATTTGTTTGTGTTAGATCTTCGTATAAAGTTAAAATGATAAAATTTATATTTCTCTACCGTCGTGAATATTCTATGACGAAACAATACGAAATAAAATAAGACAGTTAGATCAATTTTATATATATATATATATAAAAGGCTCTAACTTAAAATATTTTACTTGGTAATCAAAACTCACATGTTTCATAAATTCATACAATCATTAATGACTGCAAAATAATGATTCTACCTTTTAAAAGTTGAAATATCAGACTTGCCTATTCTGCAAAATACAAATATTTATATGAAAAAAAAAATACTATTATTTGTAATTCTAGGCCAGCTATGATTAAAAGCTTTCGTGAGATATCACTTCCACTGTGTACCTCCTTTTTTTTTTTCCTAGAGAACTGGAAACTTTGTTTTTGGCCGTCCTTGTTGTAAATTTTTTTCACATATTCTTCCTTTAGGAACAAGGTTGTAAATGTAAATTTCGATGTACATTTATTGTACTAAATTTTATGCAATAAACAATTATATTCAAATAATCTAAAAATATTTAAATATAATTAAAAAACCATTACACTTATTTTAAAATTAGTTTAATATAAATTTCAAATATACAATATTAATCCATATTTATATATATAATTATTATTGAAATCCTTATTTACAAATAAGATTAGAGAGAGTTGCCTAAGATAGTTTGGTCACATAAAATAATGGTCTTCTAATGATTCAGTTAGGAGAGTAGATGTATTAAATTTGACCTATATTAATGAAGATAGATGTATGCCTAAAAAGATTTGATTAAAAAGTATTAGAAATAATCTTTTTTTATTAGATTTAAATCAGAATTTGACTCTTAACAGAACACAGGAAAAAAAAAAAGATTCATATAACCGACTTACGTAATGTATTATTGTCTTATTATTATTGTTATTATTATTATATATCGTAATTGGTAGAAATAATATTTTAATAATGCATATTAAATTTACTTTTTTTGAAAGAAGACAATAAAAAAAAAAGGAAGGGAATAAATTTGAAGGCTTTTTGTATTGTTATTTGGACTACTATATCCCCACATGGATTTAAAATTTTGTGAAGAGAGAGCATTGAAGAAAGGGAATCTCCTTAATAACATATGGAGAGGAAGGATGTGATGGATCTTTGGATGCTTTGCCCTTTGTCAGTTATAACAATTCATTAAAAGTTACAACAAATTAGTCAGTTGCTTTGGTATTTGGTCAGCATCAGAGCATGGGTTTCAGTGTTGATGATTGCTTCTTGCCATTGCTCATATTATTTTTGGACAATTAACTATGGTATGATATGTTATTGTCATCATATGATATTTTACTCCTTTTCTTTTTTCTTTGATTTTCTCTCTTCATCCTAAAGAGAATCATACAAGCACTTTGAAAGCTCCTTCGAGCTGGCTATAAGATATGAAAACGGCTTTTTATAGCTTAATAAAACTGTTTTTTAATACAAAAATTTTATTGAAAGTAGAAAAGAAATTGTGGTATAAAGTTGCCCCAAATAAAGACTTAGCTTCAAATACTTTAGACCAAATTTGAGGTAGGGCATATGAAGAGCTCTAATTTTGTTAATGATTATTACTTCATTAGATATATGAGAGTGCAATTTTCTTATGATTGATGAATGAAAAATACAAAAAATATATTATTAGGGAAAGTAAAAGGATGAAAGGATTTAACATCAATGTTTGTTGATAATGTTATGGGTATTTTGCAAGTTTATGATGATACAATATAACAAAATTAAGAAAATCAAACATAAAAGAAAATATTAAGATCGAGTGATTAACCTTCTCCAAATAATAACATTTCTAAGTTTTTGTATATCTCAATTAAATATACCTAAGTTATTTTTATTTTATTATTTCACTTTGTATGTTTCGAAATATAAATTTATTAAGCTTAATTGGAATAGTAAAAGTGTAAAATTATCAGCAGAATTAAATTCTCATGTGAGTCAAACATTTAGGCTTCGTTTGGGACGGCTTTTTTACTGCTTTCTAAAACGGAGTTTTAGTACAAAATTTTTTATTTTTG